GAAGGGTTTTTTGGGGGTTGCTTTTTTAAAATCCAGATTATGTTGTGTTTGGAAATAGAGTATTGTGTTTCTTTGGAATGATTTGAATTCTTAGTGGAAGGCTGCCAATGCACAGTGTAAATAATTTTGCCTTGTCTGTAAAAACGTCTTGTTAACAAGTGAGCTGTGCAGTGGGATTGAACCTTATATTTTGACTAGGTTCAGCTATGTGTCATCTACTTGGATGAGAATATATGTTGTCATGTAGTCCGTTCTCTCATTTGTGTTTTGCTGAGGCTAATGTGCAACTCGTCATTTGAGCATGGTTGTTATATGGCTTTGTTTAGCCCTGACCACACAATCTGAATAATTTTCCTAAATTAATAAGCATCTTTGGTGGTGAAGAAGGGAATGTGTTAATGCTTATTCGCCTATGAAGGTCTGTGTAATTTCTGACTAAATGTTGATTGAATACAACAGACTACCTGCACATACTGATCTTTTGTCTGTACTTGCAAACATGTTAGTAATTGTCTCCTCTTTTTCTGTTAGGAGAGGGAGGGATTGATGGAGATGGAGATATCACTCGCCCAGAGAACATTACTGCTTTCCAGAATTTTGTTTTGGACAATACTGATCACAAGGGAGTGCATTTCTTAATGGCTGATGGGGTTGGTCCATTTCTTTTTCTTTCTGCATTAATGACTAAAAATGATACCTCAGTCTGTATATAGCAGGGTATTTGACATGTGTCTCTAGTTATAATATGAAATTCTTCAAGGCTTGCCATTAAAAGTCCTGATGGCAGTGTTTTTTATCTTAAAGAAAGAGAAATTTATCATGATTCCATGATTTAGCTGAACAGAATCCTTTGCTTGACCAACAGATTTGTGGAGATACTGATCGTATGCTATGTGCTTTGCAGGGTTTCTCAGTGGAGGGTCAGGAGAATCTGCAAGAAATCCTAAGCAAACAGCTCATGCTTTGCCAGTTCCTTACAGCACTGTCCATTGTCCGGACAGGTATGTTTTATCCATTAATCATCTTCTTCCTTCTCTAAGGTGTGGGTGGCATTGTGGAAGGATGCTGTACAATCTTATTAACATGCTATGAAGCCTGCTCTGCAGTGAGGCTAAGTTGCACAGAATTGAGTGTGTACGCATACATCTTGGGATGGTTGTCACAAAGCTAAGAGAACTGGCACAGAAAAACAAGATTATGTCTGTTTTGCTTTTAATTAAATGCATGAGGTAAATACGTTAGTTTAAAGCTCTTTCAATGTGTTATGTAGCTGTCTTGTGGTATGGTCACTAGTGTGATAACTGGATGGTATATCTGAGTTTTATGGCACTAGCAGGACCAACTGCTTCCTGAAATTCTAGCAGGCTGGTTGGAACAGAGTGGTGTTTATCCAGTTCATCCTTCCCTCTAACTTGTAGCTTTTCTCCTTTAAATCTGCCATCTCTGATCAGAACAAGATGATGTCTCACATTTTCTTAGCTATACCTCTTTGTTGCCAAATGATGGACACTACAGCTCTATCTGGTTTTGATTGCTCCTCTCTTCTGCTGAGTTTAGTTAGCATTTGGCACTGATGAAGAAGATAAAAATGCTCATTGTGTTATCATTTATCTTGTGCCCTATCTTTAGAAGTACCTGAGGCAATGATCTACTTAGCAGTAGTCTCAAATGTGATATGGTAAAAGAAGCAACCTTCTTTATGTCTTTCTTGTCTGGGTAGATAATAGCTCTGTAAGACTGCTTTTTGCTTGGGGAAATTGGGAATCTTGTTTGAAGGCAAGAGGCAACATAGACTCTTTTCGTTCTAGATGGTGAGTTATTCTGTTTAGGCAACGTCTGTTAGTTTTCTCCTCCAGCCTGTGGTTTCTTGTTGCACATTTCAGAGCTCCTCTTCTGTTGAGGCTTTGGCATATCATGCTGCCATGCCATAGGGCACAGTTTGGGCCTGGAAGGGGAGGATGGGGATGGATAGGAGACTTGCTCCTGTGACAGCATGCATACTGATTTGATCCTGGTCAGGGAAATGCTTTTCTGTTTGCAGAGATATAGAGAAGATGCTTCATGGAGCCCTATTGGCCCACTTCATGAATATGTTTTAGATGCTGTTTACTTGTACAAAAACACTCTTACTAGTTCTGCAGAAGAGAATGTTATTGAGATGCCTGGTGTCTCCTTGTTTCCTTATAATCTGCTGGTGTCTGTGTGCTTCCTGTCTTTTTTCCAGGAGGACATTTTGTCTGCAAAACCTTTGACCTGTTTACTCCATTCAGTGTGGGACTTGTTTATCTGCTGTATTGCTGCTTTGAGCGAGTGTGCATCTTTAAACCTGTGACAAGCCGCCCTGCTAACTCAGAGAGGTGAGATTCTTGAGCATGGAGGACTACTAAAGAAACCCTCTCCTCTAAATACAGTGATAGATGAATTTGGGTAAGTCTAGTGGAAGCTCTGTGAACTGTCTCAATTGGCAGCTGTCTTGGAGGAGGAAACATTTTAGATGCTTAGCAAATTATGATGTTGGACAAGGTAAAGAAGATATTTGGCACATTACCCTTTTGGGGAGACAGCAGTGGAATGAATTTGTTATGAATACATAACAAATAATGTGTTGCATGAAACAACTGTGGTTGCAGTGAAGCTAGAGCATGTTATGTGTGTTATCGTTGTACCTGCCAGGTTTGGCAGAATCGATTGACTACTTGAGGGACATCTGGGGGTTTTTCAATAGGGTTGAGTTTCCAGAGCATAGGAAGTGTATAAAGACGTTGTGATAGGTGAGATTGCCCTTTCCTAGGGATATCAGGAAAAAAAATTCCCAGAGGAGGAAAGAATTCCTGGGATTTGGGAAACTGTCCTCATAATGTGAGTGTGGCAGGAAGGTTGACTTTGTGGAAGAACTGAACCCACCTTCTCTTCCTTGCTCTGCAGGTATGTGATATGCAAAGGATTAAAGCTAGGGATTGATGATGTGCGGGACTATCTCTTCACGGTGAACATCAGACTCAACCAGCTGCGCAACTCTGATGTGGATGTGAATCTTGTTGTCCCATTGAATGTGATCAAAGGCGACCAGGATTTCTATGATTACATTGTCCAGTCCAATGAAAAGTGAGTGCCTATGGGCAATGAAGGCTGCTGGCTATAGGCAAGTCAACCAACATGACTTTCAGTTGTAGCTTCTTGCACTCGTGGAGGTACTTGATGCTGCTACACTGCTCTGCTTTTGTTCCCTGAGAGGCTTAGCAGAGCATAGGGACACTGCAGAAAGAAATGCTGTATATTGTTAGTGAATGTTTTGCCTCTGAGTATTGTGTAGAAAGGAAAGAAGGCTACTGCCTAGTTCTTTCCAGTGGTCTTGCTGTCACTTCGAATCATGTTGGCAATGATCCATCACTGCTGTGAGTTTCAGACTGGCTTCGTCCTGTTGTCCCAGCAGTCTTCCTTGTTTTGAACAGTAGAACAATCATGGTGGAGGCTAACTTGCTCCCTGACTAAAACTTGTCCTCTCTTTCAGCCACTGCAAAGTTCAGATAAAGGCACTAGCCAAAATTCGTGCCTTTGTTCAAGACACGTGAGTATATTCCTCTGGCTTTCGGTGAGGACTGAATTAACCTACTATAAATGAATTGCTTTGCCCTTCTTTAGTGTGTTCTTCATTTGAGCTGGTACTTGGCTTGGCCTTTGGAGCCAGGAAAGCTAATAGTGCTTTTAGGTAGCTCAATCTGTGTCTTGTGAGTTATTTGTAGAAACATGTGGGTGGCTGGAGGAGTCCTGAAGGTTGATGGTCTATTATCACCTTTGTTGAGAAGGCTTCCATGCATTGCATGATTTCTGATTACCATTATTGGGCCTGCTTCTTAGCAGGAGTGTAAGCAGAAAAGTAATTCCCAGCTGGTATGTTCGTTCCTACAATAACCATCTAAGCTGGGTGTGGTTCATAGCTCTTTGTATTCCAAGGGCAATTCAAAGCATCTAAGTTATGTACCTAGAATTACCTAAAGCTTGTGATGTGAATTTCTTGCGTAAAACTAAAGCCATTGTATTGTATAGCTGTTGCCCTGGTATGACTTTCCTGTTCAGGTGTCATTCAGAGAGAATACCTAGTAGAAAGTTGAGCAAGTCTGATAGCCAGGAGTTAGATATCTAAGAGTTAATCCTAACATTGACACTGTTTTTTGTGTGGCCTTCAGCAGGTCTTCATTGCTATTTGTAAATAGGGCTATGTACTCAGCTCTTTGAGATTAGCATAAATTCATATTAATATATAACCTCTTGAAAATATTGATGCCCAGTGATACTTTCATGGGATGGAATAGTGACTAAACATGGGTATTGGAGATGGGTGGAGGGTGGGGAGAGAAGGCAGCATTCTCTTTTATGTAACTTGTTGCAGAACAGTGCATGTTTGTCATTCCCAAGCCAGACACTGAAAGGTGCAAGTTTTATAGGGCTGGGATCTGTAATTCTGCAAGAGCAAGGAGGTTTCACCATCTTAAGTCTGCTGTCTTTCTCTAGTACGCTGATTGAGCCACGTCAGGCTGAAATTCGAAAGGAGTGTCTCCAGCTATGGGGGGTAAGTAAGCTGCCAAGCAGAGAGGTTGTGAAGGTGTCCTTGCTGTGGTGAAACAAGAATGGAGCTGCAGTACAGATAGGACTTTCTAGCCAGACGTTAAATATGTTGTCTTGTGTGAAAGTCAGAGTCTATTTCAAGGCGTTTATGTAAGCAAACAGGATGTTTCTGATTCATTATGTGTATGACATAACTGAGCAGGCTTCTTTGCCAAAGTTGAGATTATTTCGGTGCATACAGAGGGCACTCAACACCTAGTTCCCAAGCAGCAGACCTCTCTAAAAGGTTTCGTTTTACGAGTCTGCATTTCTCTTTCCTGAGCTTTTGGTTGCAGTGGGGCCACAGATAGTCAGTTTCACAGGCTAGTTGTGTGTCTTCAATGAAACAGTATTTCACTGAAACATGCATGAAATCAAAGATTTAGCCTGAAACTTTCTGAGGTGGCCTGTTGTTTCCTGTGAGATGTGGTGTGCCTACATTAATTTGCAAAACACCATGAGACCTTCTACTTGCCAGATGACCTCTCCAGTGACTGAAATTCCAAAAGCAGGAGTTTCAGGGGGCAGGATTCAGAAAAGGGCCTATGAACATGCCGAACAACAACACTTATTATTAATCATTTGGATTTGTTTTCAGATTCCTGATCAGGCTCGTGTTGCTCCTTCATCTTCAGATCCCAAGTCCAAGTTCTTTGAACTGATCCAGGTGAGAACTTACCCAGAAGTTTGTTCTCAATCCTTTCATAGAAATAGAACTTTTCCCCATAGGAATTAAAAGATGAAGAAGCTAGTCCTGGATTATAATTTCATGCAGAAGTTGCATTTACCTACCTGTTGATGTATTGTGTCTAATTTGCCTTTCCCATACTTCGCTCTTTAGGGCACGGACATTGATACCTTCAGTTACAAACCCACTCCTCTGAATTCCAGTACACTAGAGAAAATCCGCCAAGTGTTAGATTACCGATGTATGGTGTCTGGAAGCGAGCAGAAGTTCCTCTTGGGGCTAGGGGTAAGCACTGAGAACAGTCCGGGGGTTTTGCTGGTTCATTTCAATGCTACTATTCTGCTTTGCAGTTTCATCCCATCCTTTCCTGTCCTTAAAGGCCTGAAAGGATCCCCATCAACATTCCCTGAGACTGCTAGTTATTTTATGTTTCTTTTTCCTGACTTCACTTCTTTTCACACTAATTAACCTTGCTTTTGTAGTTGTGGCCTACACAGAGCCCTGTACTCTTGCTAGTGTCTCTAATTATCTTCACTGTCCTTCTAAAGGTGTTCTATTTCTGGTTCTTTGTGTAGATATTAAAAGTCACTGGCAGATTAGAATCAGTGTTTTTGTTCCTTTGCTGTAGAGATTAAGGTTTTTCCTTAAAAATTATGGCAAAGAAACTGCCTGTGTCAGCCTAGGACAAAAAATCTCTGAGGGATGCTCTACAATTAGTCAGAGGTCTCTCCTCTTTCCTTGGCCTCATGAAGCTTTGGCTGAATCTGACTCTGCCTTCTACACACAGAAATCGCAGATCTACACCTGGGATGGTCGCCAGTCAGATCGCTGGACAAAGCTGGATTTGAAAACTGAACTGCCACGAGACACCCTTCTCTCTGTGGAGATTGTCCATGAGCTGAAAGGAGAGGTAGGAGGCTCTTCTCTCCTTTACCAAGTGACTCCAAATATAATGAGCAGTTTTGCCTAGTCTTTGTAAGACATTGCAGAATAAATGTTCCATCTGTGCCAGGTGCAAGTTTTTTTCTATATGATCTTTAGAGAAACTATTTTGGAGTAAGTTCCATCTTTCTGTCCAGTGCTAGAGATACGAGTTTTTAACATTATTTTCAAAACACTCTGGACCTGACACGCAGCAGATGACATTGCCAACATGACTTAATGTGTTCTGTGGCTTTTTGGGTACATAACTGCCCAGGGATTCGTAGGGATTGTAGGCCTTAGGAAAAAGATTCTTGTGGTATACTCGGTGTAAGGTGTTGCTGCCTGGAAGTTTGGCTGTCCTCTAGCACCTCAGATGAGGGTGCTGTGGTACCTGATAAGGCACACAGAGCTGGTGATGGCAGCTGTGGTCCTGCCCTTTCTCCCTCTCCTGAGACAGAACTGTGTAGTTGAGATGCATCAGTTCTTGGAGGATGGCACAATGGGCAGCAGGGAATTTGTGGGCTTCTAATATCTGGAAAGGTGCTTTCTTGCTAGAAGAGAATGATGTCCTGTCAAAAAACAGGCTATAAATCAAAGCAGAAATAGCAACAGTCTCAGTAGTAAGTCTCTGTATTGCCCTCCCTAGGGGAAAGCCCAGCGAAAAATCAGTGCCATCCACATCCTTGATGTCTTGGTGCTGAACGGCAACGATGTTCGAAAGCAGCATTTCAACCAGAGGTATGTGGGATCTGGAGAAGCTTCTTTCTTGTACATGAGTAGGAGTGACTGGGAGACAGCATTCACGCTAAAAGCAGAATGCTGAGCACAGGGAGATGGTGCATTCAGCTGAAACACCGCTGTAAAGATGAACTGTGAATGAACCTGCTCTGAAGGGAAATGTGTATAGCCTTTTCCAACTGTACCTTCTCTGTGTCAGAGAAGGTTGAGAGCAGGTCTAGCTCCTTGCTTAGTCTGGGGTGAGCCAGGCACAGTCTGGGTAAACTGAGCATCCTGGGAATATGAATGAGCATAACTGATAACTGGCTGAGGGAAAAGGAACAAACCTCTCTGTTTCCTTTCTTAGGGACATGATGTCTCTACTAGTCCTACTTTCCTGCTGATACATCATGTTCAGCAAGCATGTGGGCTTGCAGAGGAGGCTATGGAGACCCATTGCTAATGGTTAATAGGCAGTGTCACTGGGCACTGAACTGGGAGGGCAGGGTGAAAAAAGTCTTGTTTAGTACCCATTTGGCTAGCAGTGGAGGCAGTCTGCATGTACTGAAGTGTCGAATCAGTTATTCTGCTGAAACTGTTACCTACCTGCTGTGCCAAAGATCCCACTAAATTGCTCTTTCTGTTTTCATTCAGGATTCAGCTGGCGGAGAAGTTTGTCAAAGCTGTTTCTAAACCTAGCCGGCCAGATATGAACCCTATCCGGTGAGTGACAACTCCTTCCCTCAGCCTGGCGTGTTTTGGTTTCAATGTGTTGGAGGATGAAGGTAAGGAGCTGAAGGAGAGTTAAATTTCAAGCTGAAATTCATAGTTCTGTTATGTTAAATGGAAAGAGTCTAAAAGCCCTTTAAATACAGAAGATAAAGGTTGATGGTGGAGAAGTTGTGCTCTCCTTTCACATACCAGACAGTCATGTTTTCATCATAGGTGGATTGGCTGGTGCTGATTTCAAATACATGCTATTGTAGGTCAAGCACCCAGTTGGCTTTATCATTGCAAAGACTTCTATGTCCTCGTCTGCCCTGAAGGGTCAGCAGCGGTACAGAGATGCTGACTGTTAGTAGATAAATGAAACGCTGACCAGCATTTACAATCTCCAAATGGATAGCCTGAGGAGAAGGCTTTAGTTACAATCCCAAGAAAGTTCCTGGCAAAGGGCTTCAGCTTTAGTTGCCTCCTGACCTTCCATTTCGTTAATTCTGCTACAGTGGAGCATAAGAGCATCATTGTGCTAGGTATCAGATAGGTATTGTGGACAAAACAGCTTCTGTTTCAGAAGCTAGAAGTGCTGTGATATTGTGAGAAGCTGGAGGAAGGGAAAGAAGATGTTCTCTTTGGCTTAATGAAAGATAATGAGTAGGATCTCAATTAAACCCAAGACAAACAGACAGTTGCAGTAACTGGAGGAGCTCAAAATGTTGGGGAGGGCTGAAGGTGAAGTGAGGAGGAGAGCTGTAGAAATGGGTTGCAAGAGGGGTCCTTTGCTTGTGAAAAGGTGTTCAAACTGTGCTCTTTGAAGCCTGATTGTTTTAACAGTGTATAGGAAATGAGTGGTTGGGATGTCTGATCAGAAGCAGTGCTTTTGAAACTTTCTGATTGTCTTTCTGTGTCTCAGAAAAAAAAAATAGTAGTTTGACATAATGATAAGAATGATGATTCCAAATCATCTTTACTGATTTTAAAAACAAACAAACAAAACCCCCCAAAAACCCCACAAACAAAACCAAAACAAGAAAGAGCTGTTTTTACCTCAGGGTAACTAATGAGTTTGTGGTGTCCCTGAGGATAATAATGGTGAAGATCAGGCAGTTTTGTTTTACTGCAAGGCCAGCATGCTGAGGCCAGAACCTGCCTGGGGCTGACCTTGGTGAATTCACCTCATGGCAAAACAAAAGCACCCGACTTCCAGTGTTCTGCCTCTTCTGTATACTCAGCCTGAGGTAAAAATGCACAGCTTAGCAGTGAGGATGCTTGTATACTGCTTACAGCAACCCAGCTGTGAGTATGCAGGTGTCAGGTTTTCTCAAGCCAGGAGAAATAAGGCACTGGAGCATAAGGTTGAGGAGAAGGGTGAACCTCAGTCATGCCTGACCACCTCATGCTGTACAAAATGAACTGCCTGGCTGCTTCCTGTAGCTGGGACAGAAAGAGAGGACCATTTTTAGGTTCTTTAATCACATTTTTGTCTTCTCCCGCCCCCCCCAGAGTGAAGGAAGTGTACAGATTGGAGGAAATGGAGAAGATTTTTGTGAGGTAAGTGGTGACTGGCACAAACGAGAGACTTCAGGGCCCACTGAGGTTATCAGCCACCAATACACAGGAACGGGAGGGATGTGCTGATTTATGCTTGAAGAGTCCTGGAGAAAGAGCCGTTAGAGCTTGTGCAGCTGATGGTTGCTGTTTCTGAGATGCTGCTGACTCAGAGCATCGTCCTGCTGAGTTCTAATGCTGTAGATGTGGCCAATGTGCTTTACAACAGTAGGAGTAGCAACGGTGCTTAAGTTTGTATGCAGAAGTGGCTTCTTGGTGGCTTGAAAGATTAAGAGCTCATACCTGAAATGGGAACCCCATTTGGATTAAGTGTGGTAGATGTCACAGATCCTTCATTGGAACATTTTATTTACTACTGGATCTAGACAGCTCTGACTGGTTTCTGTAGCCATGGCGGGGAGACAAGAGACTGAACACTCTCCAGGATGTGATGATTTTGTCCTGTCTTGTGCGGTGCTGTCAGTTTTCACTGTGACACTCTGGAGAGGGTGTGCAGGTGGCATGTTGCGTGCCAGAGGATGGTAAACGAAGAAACAGGGAATCTCTATCACTGCCTTCTCTCAACATTTAGGTTAGAGATGAAAATCATCAAGAGTTCAGGGGGAATACCCCGGCTATCCTACACTGGCCGAGATGACCGGCACTTTTTGCCCACAGGACTCTACATCATACGGACGGTGAATGGTAGGAAGAGAAAGTCCCCACTCTTAAATTTTAAGTTTTCTTTGTATCTTCAAGTAAAAAGTATTGACCAGGCTTGCTCCTGTTCTAACTTGGTAAAAAATTAATGGGAATATTCCAATGGCTAGAGAACTGTTTGCTCGTAATGAGGGTAGCTTGGATTTGGATAAGATTTAGGGTATTTATATGATAGGTTTTTCTGTTGCAGGTTGATTAGCTGTTGTGTGGGTAGTTCCATTTATTTACATGACTGGCTTTCTTTTTTAATGAGATCATAACTTTTCATCAAGAAGGTATTTTCCAGAGTAATAGCACATGGAAATACCCTGTTTGGATATGTCAACTTTTAAATGCAGGGAGAAAGGATTTTTCTCAGTGAATAGAGAACAGCTTGGGAAGCAGGTCTTCTTGGAGGAAGGGAAGGAAAAAGGAGTAAGAGAAGGATCACAATTATTCTTACAGATTCCTGCTCCCTGCTTGCACTGTTTATTTATGCTGTGCTTTTTTCCCCTTGCCATTTTCTGTCCGATCCCTGTCACTCTTCTGCAAGATCCCTGGACAATGGCATATAGCAAAAACTCTAAGAGGAAATTCTTCTTCAACAAAGTGACCAAGAAAGCGACGTATGATCTCCCTCCCGAATCCATCGCACCCTTTCAGTGAGTACAGGCCAGAGCTGAGGCTATGGAAGGACAGCTGTGTGTGAGTGTGTTTGTGTGCCTGGATATTTGGAGGGGAGTTCAGGTGTGCTTGTGTTCTTGCAGTCGTTTGCAGTGCGTGCGCAGCTCGGTCACCAGCAGGGTGTGCTGCAGAAGCTGGCACCTTCTCAGACTTTGAGGAAACTGCTGACCTGGATTCGTGGATTTTGCAACTAATTGCTACGAATAACACACATCTCGCAACTTTTTTCCCCCCTGTCTGCAGCAGAGTACAAGTTACTGAACCTCTCTGCACACAGGGAAATGGAAATAGAGCCCAGCAAGTGTAATTGGCTGCATCTCTGTATTTTAAGATGCTTGGTTGGAAGTTGCTAATTTAAAAGCAAATCCCAGTTTGTTTAGCCCAGGCTTTGGAATACGCTGTAGGTAGATGGGAGCTGTTTAAAGAGAGAGTGAGAGAGAAAAGCAGCAGCTCCTTGGGAAAGGATGGAGTGGCTTTTCATTTGACAGGCATTAACAC